TACTCAGGTATTTACAAGTACCTTAAATACCTCCATTCTTGGCAGAGTTCCTCAGGAGATACGAATTTGGATGGTGGGGCAGACAAGTTCCTCCTGCTTGATGCACTGGTGGCCGAGGGGCTCATGGAAAACTTGGCGGCAGTGGGCTGAAGTTACCGCAGTTCCTCAGCTCAGCTCAGTTCTAGCAACCCCAGGGCATCTCAGAACCAGCGGCATCACCCCTGTATCCTGTGCCTTGGTTGGAGTGGGGATCTTACTAGGGGCTCCGGATGAGGACATGAGCTGCACTGGCAGGAGTCTGGAGCCCTGGGACAGGTTTTGTGTTGGTTTGTTTTCCCAGTGTTCACATCCATTCCCCTCAAGCCTTCATCTGCTCTGCACAAACTGGTGCTATCTTAGGGAGGAGCAGAGTAGCAAGAAAAGCTGCTGATCCCACTTCCATCATTTTTAACCTTAAAAGTTAATCTCTGCATGGGTCTCAGCACAGCTGTGTCTGCCTCTTAGGTTCCTTTCTCTCCTGCCTCTCCCCAGGCCATCTAAGACCCAGAGCCTCCATGCTGAGCTGCCCCCACTTTACAGTCTAACCTAGGTGTGCTCAGGGCAGCTCCCACATCACAGCCCATCCTGCGCCAGCCTGACCCTAACTAGATTTTCCTCAAGACTCTGGTATCCCTTATATGTCTTCAGTTGGTGTTAACAAGTGGCACGAGGCAGCCCTTGGTCCTCATCCTAGTCACCTTTGAAACACAGGCCTTCCCTTTCAAGCCAAAGCAGTGACCGCTTCCTTGCAGTTTGGGCGGCCTGGGCAGCTAGAGGTGGGCAAGGACAAACATTTCTGGCTTCCAAGTTTCCTATTAGGGCTCAGAAGTCCTGATCGGCATTTCTGTCTGAAGCCACACTCTTGTGGTGGGCCTCTCCTAGGTCTCTCCAAGGCTCTGGCCTCTTTTGCATCAAAGTGGGACAAAACTATTCAGGCACTGCAGCCTCATACTGGCCTGATCTTCCCACTCGAGATCAGGCGTGTCTCTGTGGTGGTGCAATCGACTGCTTTTTCCAGCTAGTGCTGAGGTAGTGATACAGGGGAATGAAACTCCCAACCTACTATACATCCGGTACAAGTTCATGCTCTTTAAAATAAACAAATAAATTTTAGGAACAATAGGGTTTAAGAGCAGAATGTATTTAATGAGAGAAAGCTTCAGTCTGACAGAAAGACAAAAGGGGTCCTTCATGGGCTGCCAAAGACTGTCTTTCATAGAGTAAAACATGAGGTGAGACAGGTCCAAGATGGGGAAAACATGGAAACTTGCAAGGTGGACATAAGACAGAACAGAACTGTGTTCAACCAATAAGATTAATTGCTCAGATGGCCAGGGGTTTAGCTCAGTGGTGGAAGTGCCTGCCTAGCAAGTGCAAGGTTGTGAGTTCAATCCTTGGTTTAAAAAAAAAAAAAGAAAAACTGCTCAGGTAAAATTTATTGAATCAGGAACAAATGGGGAAGCGAGTTATGTAGCAACTGGGCATGCTTAACAGCAGTGACTCTTTCTATAGGCGGATGGGATGTTGACTCCTGACCTCCTCAGGGTGACAGAGAACCACTTAGACTACCATCCTTTAGAATGTAGTTGTATTTGCTTTGCCTTTTGTCTTGAGATCTGGCCCACAGCAGGAGGTGATTGTCTCTTCCAAGGCTGCAGGCATCTGAGCTTCTGCACTGGCTCCTTGGAGGGATTCACCCTGTCTGACTACCTATAGCATTTCTAACTAACTCAGCTGTAACGGTAGGATGAAGGACAGGGAGACAGGAGGCAAGGGAATCATAACTAACAAATTGAACTTTTAAGACTGCAACTTGCGGGCCTCAGAGTTACCTAAAGTCTGTCAGCATGCCTTTCGTTAAATTTAGGCTCCTTTCCTTCCAGGCCACCATTCCCAAAATTCTTCAGGAATACTCAAAATCTATAAACTAGTTTAACTGAGGAGGTAAAGAGCAGGAACCCGATCCTGAAATAAAAGAACAGATTCAGAGAATTCAAAGAGTGTTTAAACTATCCTTCTTGAAAAACAAAACTTGGCCCAGCCAGGAAACCTGGGAGGTACCCTTCTGGGGGATGGGCCACCTTTTCCCGGGGTTGCCCAGCTTCTCCAGCAAAAGCAGCAGTGTTCCCTGGTCGCGGGGTAATGAGTCTTTCCCTCTGAGGACCCACATTCTATATCTTTGACTGTGGACCTTTTAATTTCTGCCTAGTAAAGCCGGTCCCACACCTCTTACTGTTTAGTCCTGAAAATTCTTTCTCTGCGATGGGAGTCAGCGAACCTGCAAACTGAACTCTACCAGAGGGTGGGTTAGGTTCCTTATCTTAGTTTCACGAGCCTACAGGGACTCTGTTGAGCACGTTCAAGACTTCTCCCACGGACGTCCAGCACGACAGGGTCTGTACCCACACTCCTCGCTGGCAGTCAGGGTACTGAGCAAGCCCAAGAAGAGCAGAGCCCGCGCAGGGAGGGAAAGCAGCTGCCCCCGCGGTCTTCGCAGTCCAGGGAGCGGGAGCCCCGCGCAAGGACCGCAGGCGGGCGACTGGGCGACGGTGCAACTGCAAAGGCACCTGCGGGGCTGCGGGGGCGACAGGCCGAGACCAAGGCCAGGCCCTGGGGCGTCCAGCCTGGAGCCAGTCCGGCTCTCCACGCGGCCAAAAGTCGCGCGGATGGCGCTGCAAGGGTGGACCGGTCCCGGGGGTACCTGCCTGGGAGTCCTCAAGCGTGCAGGATGCGCAGCACTTCCGCACTGCGGGAGCCGGAGCCGGAAGCCCGGGGAGAGCAGAGGCAATGCCACCTCCGTTTTCTCAGCCTGAGGCTGGTGAGCGGCACCGCCTCCCTCGCGATTGCGCCTGCGCGGGCCGGCGATGGGCTGTCCCAGGGCGGGGCTGAGGGCGGGGCAGGGGATGGGTGGGGCCAGGGCGGGCAGGGGGCGGGGCCGGGACCAGGGTGTGGGCGGGACTAGGGCTGGCCAGGGCACCGGACCTGGGACGGGACGGGGCGGGGAGCGGGGCGGGGCACTTCAGGAGCACCATAGGGTCTGTGTCCTCGTCTGACCTTTCTTGTCAGTGTCTCTGCTTCTCAGTCTCTGCACCTCCTTTAGCTGTTACCCTTCCCTAGGAGTCTGACCTGGCGACCTTGTCACCTTACCCTATTTTCTGCTACTTCCCACCCTTTATTCTGGCTCCTTGTAACACCTTCACCGCCATCCTTTTGTATAACATTTAAAAATGGAGGCCTGGAGTGGTGGCGCACTCCTGTAATCACAGCGCTTGCGTGGGAGGCCGAGGCAAGAGGATCTTGAAAGTTCAAGATCAGCCTGGGTTACAAAGTGAGCCCAAGACCAACCTGAACTGCATAACGAGACTGTCTCAAAAAGACCAAACAAACAAAAAACCCGATCTGAATCTGATCACAGCTTCCAGCTTAGAGGACACGTTACAGGTATTAAGGTAATGCCACCAGCAAAATACAGTGTGGAAAAATCAGAGTGTAGCAAAGAACAGAAGAGAGAGGAAAGAAGTCCAGTGATTAGGTATCAAACCCAGTCTGTGGTCCCAATTTCATTCCTAATTAAACTTTTTGAAAATGAAAATTTAAACTTGGCTTGATATTGATAATATAGGAAATCATTGTTAATTTTCTAAAAAGCATGATTTTTTTGTAAAAAAAAAAAAAAGGAGGGGCGGGGTTGGTCCTTTTAAAAATTCATACTAAAATGTTTATGATTTTTTTTTATGATTTTAGTTATTGTTCCTGGGATTTGCATCAAAATAACGATGCAGAGGTAGGTGAGGGTTGGGGTGTAACCAGGCCATGGTTTGATGATAGTTCAGGGTGGGCCTTGGGAGTTCATTTTATGACTCTGCTTTTGTGTATTTAAAACATTCTTCATTTTTTAAGTTCTCAAAAACAAAAGGATGTATTTCAACTGATTAGTCTCCACATTTTTACAGGGCCCTGAAAGCATGTTGAATGTGTGAGAACCCAGTGTGTGTGTGTGTGTGTGTGTGTGTGTGTGTGTCCTGTCTGTTACTGACTTGCGTGACTCCTCTTGGACGCTGACCCCGCTCTGGGCTGGGTTTTGGACTTGATCTTAACCAAAAGGCTGAAAAGCAAATGTGTTGGTCTTGATCTGGGGTCAAGGAGGAATCAGCTTTGGCTGAGGTTTTGACCTGAGCACACTTCCTTCCTGAACAGAAACTAAAAGTGGCCCTGGGTCTCTAACCACTGGAAGATGGTTTCCCATCACTTTCAAACTCCATGCACCCATAATTACTGGCCTGTGAGCTGCGGCCTAACTTCCCCTTTCTAAAAGTGGCAGCTCATTTCCTCTGCCTCTGTTGCTCAGCGGATGGAAGTTGGTTGGCTGTGGTCGCTGTCTCCACCTCTTCTCCGTGGGTATCTATTTAGTCACCAGGTCCTACTGATTCTTCTGTCACAGTGTTTTTCAGCCTCGGCTCTTTCTTTCTATGCTCATCTTGAATCTCAGGTGTGGCTATTTTCTCCTCCATGTATTTACCTTCTTCCTGGCTTCCAGCCCTTCCTGTACTCCCTTCCGCTGTCCCTCTGCCACTGATCATTGGAGCGAACCTGGAGGTCAAAGGTTTCGTATTTAGTCTGAGGTCAGAAGAGGGGGAATTATGATTATGCCTTACCCAACTCCAAATTCCTTCCCTTACAATCTCAAGAGTTTCATTTAGAGGAAGTTGTAATGATGATTACCAGGCAGCCAGCATCTCTGTGCCTCAAATAGTCTAGTGTGGAAAACATTATTTTTCAATTGTTGAGCAAACACATTCTTCACTCTTATTGGTAGGTCAACAGTATCCCAGATCTGGCTGGTCCACAAGCAGAACCCAAGGTCACCAGGATCCCATTCAGATGGCTCACTAGACCAAAGAAAGCTCAGATGGTGGAGGACTGACCGGCGGAGCCCCAATGAAACAGGAGACGCTCTTGTGGACGACAGTTAACTGCTGGTTTATTTACGCGGGCTCTGGTTTATATATTTGGCCGTGACCAATCACAGGCTGCCACGAGGAAGCAGGGCGGGAATGGGACGCAGGCTCTGGCTATTATATCCAGCTGTGGCCAATCAGGAGTTGCCACAGAGTACGGAGTGAGCACGAAGTGCGCACGGGTTGGCTAATTTAAAGAGGGACGTAGCGCATTGCGGAAGCTGGCGTGGTCCTTAGTCCCGGGTGGGGTATGGTATGTTGAGCGCCTGCGCCCAACAGAGGACAGGAGATTCCTGCTAATTTCTCTTGTTGTTTTGAAATAGTACATTCTATTTCTAAACCACAGGCACAAGATTTAACCAGTGATTTTCAGATTTGCAAATCTGTTCATTTCTATGAAGTTGTGCATGTGTAATCATAAAATCATTTTTAGTTATGCATTTAATAATTTTCTTTTTCTTTCTTTTCTCCTCCTCCTCTTATTCTTCCTCCTCCTCCTTCTTCTTCTTTTTTGAATAAGAAAATTTATTGAGGAAAAGGAGTGGGGAATAGAAATAGTTCCCAAGAGACAAGAAGAGTCCCAAATGGGTTGCCCAATAATTTTATTTTTCTGAGACAGAGTTCACTATGTAACCCAGGCTGGCATCAGACTCACAGTGATCCTCCTGCCTTAGCCTCCCAAGTGCTGGGATTACAGGCTTGGGTCACACACTCTGCAGTAATTTTCTTTATTGGAAGAAAATTACATTAAATAAAATTAGGACCATCCAGGAAAACTCAGGCCATTGGGTCACCATGGCTAAACACATAGCTTTAAAATGCTTAGCATAAAAACAATTTCTTTGAGCTTCCCAAGAAGCATTTATTGTCTTAGTACCCTTGGTTAGCAACTCCTTTTTGAGTTGGATTTTGTCTTTCCCAGGCCCACCATAAACATCTTTTGGGGCAGGGTTGTTAACTGACCCAGTCAGAGCGTTTCCCCAGAATTTTTTGGTTGATTTGGTGAGCAAGGGTCTTCTTTCCTCTTTGCAAGAAATTATGTAGAGGCTTAGGCTGTGAGTTTTCTCCAGCCAGGCTGAAAAAATTGGGAGAGGAACTTGAAGTGCTGGAGTCCAGTTCTAGCTGTACCTGACTGAGGCCAGCCCCATCCTTACCTCTCCAGATACTTGAGGCTAGAAATCTTTTTGCTTAAGCAGCTCTAGGTTAAACTCATGTTACCTCAATCCTTGTTCACATGTTTCTGAATTATTTTGAATTACCATCAGAGAGTCAATGAGAAACACAGGTGATGGCGACTAGGTAACTACAAAAAAATCAAGCAGCCAGGCGTGGAGGTGCATGCTTGTCATCCCAGCACTTGGGAGGCTGAGGCAGGAGGATCACTGTGAGTTAAAAGCCACCTGGGGCTACGTAGTTGAGTCCAAGCCAGCCTGAACACCATGATGAGGCACTTTCTCAAAAACAAAAAATCAAAACAACAAAAGGAGAATCACTTGCTGACTCTAAAAAAGGGTAGTGACTCACCAGTTCTAGAAATCGATGAAGTCATAAAGGAGCTCAACTTTTAAATAAGGGAGGGCTCAGTGGTCCTATTATCTAAATATTACATCATCAAAAAGAGGCTGATCCTGCACCCCTCCTCCACACCTATTCTTATTCTTTCTCTCTCTTTCTCCTTCTAAAACAATTTGGCTGTATGTCAACTATCGGCCTGAGCACTGGGTATAAATGATTCATAGTACATTGTGCTTGTTCCTTAGAATGTGACTGTATTTAGAGACAGGACCTTTAAAGGGGTAATTAAAGTAAAATAAGGTCACTGGAGTGGGCTTTAATCCTGCCTGCTGTGTGATATATAGCGAGGGAAGACAGCCCTTTACAAACCGAGCCTTAGAAGAAACCAACCCTACCAGCAGCTTGGACTTCTGCCCTCCACCACCCCAAGGGAGTAAGTTTCTGTCCACAGGCTGGCCTGGAATGTTGTTATGGCAGCTGCAGCAGACTAATCCAAGGGGCTTGTGGTCTGAGGATGGAGATAAGTAGGGAATAAAGGGAGCACAATGCAGCCTGGTAAGTGAGGTGCCAGAGACACACAGCACATGGCTGCGTGGACTCCCCAAGGTGGTAGACAAGAGGGATGTCAGGAAATTTCATAGGGAAGTTATTCTGGGCTCTAACGGTCATGAGAAATGCCTGTCTGTGGGAGGTGCAGGGGAGCACCAGTGAGGCCTCAAGCCTTGTGCTGTCTTTTATTTATTTATTTAGAGGCAGGGTGTCCTTATGTGGTTCAGGCTGGTCTTGAATTCACGACGATCCTCCTGCCTCGGCATCGCAAGTGTTGGGATTGCAGGTGTGTGCCACATACCTGGCTTGTATATAATGTGTTTTGATTATATCTATTTCTCTACTATTTGCCCTTGTACCCCTCTCCCTCTTATGGTCTTCCTCTTGTCTAATAATAGCCTCTGTTCTGCTTTCATGTCTTCTTTTTTAGCTTTAACATGCTAGAGAAAAGATGTGATACTTGTCTGAGTCTGGTTTATCTTGCTCAGCATGATGTTCTCCAGATCCATCTTGTTTTTTTGCAAATGACACAATTGTGTTCTTCTTTATGGTTGAATAATATTCCATTATATTGGCTCAAACTGAAAGAAGGAAAAAGCAGGCCGACCTTCATCATCAGGACAGAAAGACAGGTAAATAAAGCCAGCTGCAACGTACATGAAAACCTCCTTTCCCCCAGCACTGCATAACCCTCTGCTAACATAACCCTCTGTTTGAGTAGTGAAAGATCGGTACCAGCGGTGCTCCTAGGCTCACCTTGCTATTTTCATGTGCTACTGGGGTACCTTGTGGCTAAACCCATCCCTGGCAGGACAGCAGCACCCACTCCCCACTTAGTTCCCACCTTTCCTAGGCCCGCTCTCAGAAACAGCCCCTTTCCCTCGCATCGTTCAGCACGATGCCAACCTGACAGATGCTCTCTCCTTCCTTTCATCCTCTGCAGTGCCCTCCCTTAATGCCACTGAGTCAACACGTCCCACAGTGCCTAGGTGGTACATGGGGCAGGGGCGGTGATATTGCCAGGGGGAGGGGGCTGGCCATGGGGGCACCTTGCAGTTTGTGGGAATGGGGGGATACACTGACTCACACCTTCATTTCCCCTTTTCTCTTTCCTGTAAATGTTCTCCCACCCCCAGTTTTTACTACTTCTTATACACTTATAGACCTCCATATTTCTGCCACCCAAAAATTCTTCATCTTTGTATCTATGCTTCTTTGTACTGTGCCGGCATCCTCAGCACAGATACTAAAATTGATTCTTTGTAACGTTTTCCTTTCTTGGAGTAAAAACCTGTTTTTCAGGACTCACATTTCTCACAAAGCTTCCCGGACCTTCTAATGTGTCACTTGGCTATCACAACTGTTCTCCGCGTTTTTTCTACCTTTGTTTTCTCTATCCATGTCTGCTGTTTAAACTTCCAGGCAGTCAGAAATCTATTTGCAGTGTAAAATCTTCTTTGGCTTTTTCCTTTTGTTAGGTGCACTTATTTTAACATGTTTAAAAATATTTCTTGCCATTGTGCGCCTCCATGAAAAGAGACCTAAATTTCCTTCCCTGTCTCTTCCTGTCTTGGTTACTTTTCTCTCATTGCTGGAACAAAATACCCAACACCCGAAATGAAGGAGGAAATGGTTTATTTAGCTTACAGTTTGTGGAGGTTTCAGTCCATAATCTGTGGGCTCCAAGGGAGGGTGGAATGGCACCAGGACAACATTTCAAGGCAGCAGCCAGCAAAAGTCACCAGACCAAAACCAGGGAGGGAGAGAAAACCTCTTTTCTTCCCTTATATTGTGCACAGCACCTCCCCCTCTTCCAACTCCTGGTACAGCACTCACAAAATCTCCCTGCCCTCCTTTAGCACAGGATGAGGATATTTACAAAGTAAGAACCCTGGCTCCCTGCTGAGTCTCTTAGTTAAACTCCTAAACTTTTTTTTTTTTGGTCTTGTTCATTTTTATCGGTACCAGGGGTTGAACTCATGACTGCCTGCTTGCAAGGCAGGCGCTTATGCCGCTGAGCTAAATTCCCAGCCCCCTAAACTCCGAAACTTAAGTTAACATAACGTATCAACCATAACACTCCCAAACAGCATTTCTTTCTGTTGGAAGCCACAGCACTAGGGAGCTCATGAGTGAATCAGATCCATCACAGGCTTTAGAGATCTTTGTTTCCACTCTTACTGCAGAAGCACAGTCGCAGCATCTTCTCTGATAACACTTCACAACCTCCAGCCTTTGCTTTATTTATATTTTAATTAATTAATTAATCTTGTTATCATAGTGGGGATCAAACCCAAGACCTTCAAGCCTCATGCATTTTTGATTCATGGTTGGTGTGTGAGTGCCACATACACACAATAAAACTCCCTGTTTCCCAGGTTCCCTCTCCTTGCCTAGAGAATAGTGCAAACCTAGCAGAGCTGAGCAGAAGCTCGAAGCTGCCCCTGCAGAGGCCAGGCTGTGCTTCGTGTCTGGGACGGAGTTTTGTCACAGCCACTCTGCTCCAGCCCCCAACCATAGGCCTCTGCTGCAGGGACTGCAGTTCCGGGGGAGCCCAGCTTGCTGAGTGCCCCTTACAGGCCAGGCTAAGTTAGCATAGCTGGGGCATAGCCACTGCCTCTGGGAGCCCCAATAATCTACGTGCTGGTCAGGGACAGGCAGGTAGTAGTTAGATGGGGTCCTGATGTCACGCTGGGTTCTTTCCCGATTCTCCCTGGAAATGAACTGGAAGGATCAAAGTCATGCCCTTCCCGATGGGTGCTAAAGTGGAGTATTCCTCCATTGCCCACTGCCTGGCTGGGCTCTCTACCCTGACTTCACAACTTTCCCAGCAAAGCACCTCTACCCCCCAGGGAATTCACGGGCTGTAAACTCACCTGCACTGGTCTGCAGGGCATCCTGCCTCCCCTGATTTCCTTTTTGATAGTGCAGTGGAGAGCTGAGTGATCTCAAACCTCAGCTTTGGGGAAGTCAATTTAAGGTGGTTTTTGTTTGTTTGTCTTAAGGCTATTTTTAATCAGATTACTTTCATGAAGATTCCTTTACAATTTCCCTGCAATATCACTCTATATAGAAGAAACGCGCATACTGTAAAACCGAATACTGAAGAAAATGGGCGGGGGAGCTGTCAATATTCTTACCCTCGGTAAACAGGATTTTTCTCTCCAAGACTTTTATCTCCAGCTATTCTCTTAAGCCCCAGAACTCAGTGCATGCACAGGGAACAGAAGCAGTAATTCTCCAGGAAGTTACTAATGTGCTGGTCCCGCGGCTCTGCCCCAAACCCAGAACGCTTCCCAGGTCGGCCCAGATTCTGTTCTGGACACGGGTGAATTCTCTGGCTCACTGCCTGGTGATCTGGTGCTTTTTTCAGGTTATGCTGAGTTCAGTTGGGCAGATCTAAGACTAAATTTATCTATTTTATGTGTTTTGGGGAAAGCCCAGACAAGTTGAAAACTAGTATTCTTAATTAAGTTTACAGTAACGAGGCCTGCATTTTGTGTTTTAATAATATAGTTCACTTATCACACTAATTTGGAGTTTTACTGTACTCTCTTATTGACTGATTTGTTATCTGCCATCCTAAGGGTTTTCCTGCCTTGGATCCTTCCAGGCCCCTTATTATGGTTGATATATTGTGTCAACTTAAGTTTAAAAGTTTAACTAAGAGACTCAGCAGGGAACCAGGATCCTTACTTTGTAAATATCCTCATCCTGTGCAAGAGGAATGCTATAATCGTGGGTGGGTGTGCATGTGTGGTGACTTGTATACAATATAAAAAGGAGGAAAAGAGGGTTGTTCTTCCTCCCTCTTAGCTTTGGCTGCTGCCATTAAGTGCTGCCCTAGTGCCAGCTCATCCTGCCTTGCAGCCAGCTAATTATGGACCGAAACTTTCACAAACTGTAAGCTAAATAAACCTTCCCTTCCTTCATTTTGGGTGTTGGGCATTTTGTCCCAGCAATGAGTGAAAAGTAACCAAAATACCCCTCTCCCCCAGCTCCCCCCACCTTTGAGGTCCTGGAACAGTGGAAACCATGGAGGGCGAGGCTCTCAGTTGGTGCTTTCTGACTGATGGGTGGGAACTCCTTGTTACATACGTTCTACCCAAGGAATGTCACCTTTCCTCAACAACCTGCTGCAGGAGAGCCCCACAATGGTCTCTGTGCAGGAAGTAACCTCTGTGGACAGCAGGGGTCTCCTCCCTCCAGGCTCCATCTGTAGAATTTGGCATTCTTAAGCCACTGATTGTATATGTCCCCACCTGCTACTTCAGTATTGTGATGTTGGTATCTGGATACTTTGTTCTTTAGTTCGTGCTTCAGATTCCCTTTTGGTTCAGTTTTGATTTCCCAGCCTCACCTGTGTCTCTTGTTCTCCCTCTGTTCCCAGCTGTCTTCCAGTTTTTCTGCTTTCTTGGAGTCATGGGATCCCCGCAGTGAACTCTGGCTCCCGGTGACCTCCCCTGTCCCTCCTTAATTCCTCGGATGGTCTCCTCCCTGCTCTTCCTCCCCTGCAGGCTTGAGACAGAGTGGACTCCTGGCCCTCTCTCTTCCTCTGTGAGCTCTCTTTCCCCTACTGTTTCTTTCCTTTCTCTCTTTTATCCGCTTGTTCACTGTTTATATTTTGAAGGTCACCTTTCAGTTCTTCACTGACCACAACTGAAATCCATCCTTTTTATTTTCACCCCGAAGTCTTTCCAGTACACCTTTCTTGCCTTTTATGATACCCTCACTTACCCTCAAATAACTCTCCCCTGTGTCTTTCAGGCAGACGAAAAACGTCTTCAATGTTCCTCTTTCCCTGGGACACTCTGCAGCGGGCCCAGCTCTGCAAGCCTCCTTTTCATTGTAAAGCGGGGACCACCTCCTACCTGCTTACTAACTGTAAACGCCAGACACCACTCACCCTGCACACTTACACCTTTCTCCTTTACGTGTGGTTAATACCGTGTTCTGAATTTTACGCTGTGCTCAGGAGTTTGAGTCACATCTGTGTGTGTTCCACCTTCTCTAAGTGAAATTATCTAATATGGTGAACCTCAAGTTCCCCTTTGACATAATTTGATTCTACCCTTTACTGTTGCCAGCCAGTCCCCGAGTGATCTGCATCAGTTCATTTTATTTTATTTGACAGTGTCTTGTTATGTACTCCAGGTTGGCCTTGAAGGCCCAAAGCTCCTACCTTGGGCTCGCAAGTGATGTAGTCAGTATCCTTTACCTTAACTTTTCATGAGCCCTTTTTTTTCCCTTTAGTACCAGGGATTGAACTCACTACTCATGCTTCCCAGACAAGCACTTAAACCACTGAGCTAAATCCCCAGCCCTTCATGAGGCCTTTTTAAGTCAATGTGACAAGAGAATAATTCTGAGGTATCCTAAATTTAATTACAAGTGTTGGAAAATGGAGAGGAGGTGAATCAGTTAGGGCTGGGGATTTAGCTCAGCGGCATAAGCGCCTGCCTTGCAAGCAGGCAGTCATGAGTTTAATCCCTGGTACCGATAAAAACAAAAAAGACAAAGAAAAAGAAAAATCAGTTAATAAAACTAGATCTGAGAGCAAAAGACTTTCTCGTTCAGGAATGTATTTTAGAAACTTAACTGAAACCCCATCTCGATGGTCAGAGTGACAGCAGCACTGTCCTCCTGCTTACAACCCCAACCAGCCCGGAGGGAACAACTAATTCTCCGGTGGACTCTCCTCCATCCCTAGGGTATCTGACCGGGCGCAGCCCCAATGAAACAGGAGACAGGAGACGCTCTTGTGGACGACAGTTAACTGCTGGTTTATTTACATGGGCTCTGGTTTATATATTTGGCCGTGACCAATCACAGGCTGCCACGAGGAAGCAGGGCAGGAATGGGATGCAGGCTCTGGCTACTATATCCAGCTGTGGCCAATCAGGAGTTGCCACAGAGTACGGAGTGAGCACGAAGTGCGCACGGGTTGGCTAATTTAAAGAGGGACGTAGCGCATTGTGGAAGCTGGCGTGGTCCTTAGTCCCGGGTGGGGTATGGTATGTTGAGTGCCTGCGCCCAGCAGGTATCTCCAATTCTGGTAACCCCGCCCTCTTAGCTACAGCCAATGTAAGCTCAGTATGAACAAGTCATACCTTCTTCCCCCGATTTTTGTTATAAAAATTGCTCTTATGTCTGGTCTGTGGACGGTTTCTAGCTGCTACCCAGCCTTCCCAAGGAGGGTTGTGGGAACTTGACCTAGTTATATAGGAAATGAAACTCCCAACTTACTAGATGTCGTATGAGTTTGTGTTTTCTGAAATTGGAGACTAAATTTTAGGAACAACAGAGGTTAGGAGCAGAATATATTTATTGAGAGTAAGAAAACTGTCTGAGAGAGAGACAGAGGGGGTCCCGAGTAGGTTACCAAAGACTCTGTCTTTTCTAGGGAATTTTATAGAGCAAAATCATGAGGTGAGGCAGGTCAAAGGTGGGGAAAGGCAGGGGGGCGGGAGGTGGGATGTAATTATGGCCACCCAATCAGAGTGTGAGTGTAATTGCTTAGATAAAATTGATTAAAATGGGGTCAAATGGAAGAGGCAAGTCACTTGCTTGTCAAGTGGGCATGAATAGAACAGGGTCTTTGCTGGTAAGGGCTGGGTTGATGGCTCCTTCTGGCTTCCTCAAGATGATTGATACCTATTTAGAATATCACTCTCTGATGTTTATACTTAGGGTGTGGTTGCATTTGTTTTGCTTTCTGTTTTGAGAGCTGGCCCATAGCAGAGGTGTCTGTCTCCTCTATTGCAAGACATCTGGGCTTCTGCTCTGGCTCCTTGAAGGACCCAGCCCTCTCTGACTGCCTATAATATTTCTATCTATCTCAGCTGCTATAACACTAGGAGCTGGTTTGTGGCCAGCATGTAATGACTTAATAAACTTTTATTTCAGAGATCCCTTGGTCTCAAGAGTGTTGGCTTAACACATGCGGAGTCCTTTGTCTATCCCTTCATTTGCAGAAACAGTGTCCAAAGGAAATCAAGTTTCTCTGCTGATCTGCAATTTCATGAGAACATTTTCTCCTAAGAATCTGAATTATAGAAAACATGTCTTGTTTTATTGAGTTCGTTGCAAGTGAACCCATAACCATGGTGCTACACTATCTGTACATCTCGGAGGTGGCTCTTCTGCTGCCTGGTGCAGCCACAGTGAAGAGGTGTACGTGTGTGAGTGGGGGAGGGAACTAGGTTCCGAGTCCACTTCAGTGGGCTTCTGCCACTTGTCGCAGGGCCTCAGACAATGTGCTTTGTCCAGATGCCAGGCTCCTCACCAGCAAACCAGGTTAGAAATACCGAACTTTTGGAGTTTGATCTAATACATACAATAGCCTTCAGGTAATTCCTAGCACACAGTAGTTATTCAGGAAAGGCTAACCGGTGTCATTCCTACCTTGGGTCTTCCTCACGAAGGACCACACTCCCCATGGCTCTCTCACTCAGCCTAAGTTATTTTGTTTTGTCTTCCAGGCCCCTTTCTGCTTCACTCTCTTTTGCCTATCCTGCAGGACTTTTCTACTTCTTTTTTTTTTTATTGGTACCAGGGTATGGAACTCAGGACCATGGCTTACAAGACAGGTGCTTATGCCGCTGAGCTAAATCCCCAGTCCTACTGATTCATTTCTGATCTGATTTGTTGGCACCTGACAAATGGTAAGCACCACCTAATTAGAGTTAGGGAAAAGTGAAAGAGTTTTGGCCCAGGCTGGACACCCCTCAAGAGGAACCAAGGAGCTCCTAATTCCCCCACCCCTAGGAATTTACCTATAGCACCAAACAAAGACCGATGGGCTACCTGTGCATCACTAATACCCCCTTAGGTTCCACCCCAAACGGAGGCTACTTATATGCCTCCACTCCACGTGTTCCACGGAGAGATCGAGGACCCTGGGGGGAGATGCTGCGCCCCAGGGGGTCGGGGGTGTCTCTCCTCCCATTCTCTAAAGGTCATTTATATTTCATACTTCTTATCTTTTCAGCTGCTGCCAGTCCCCTACAGTTCTATCAAGAAGAAGAACAACAAAGTGGAGGTCTGTGCACATTTGAATCTGACCCATGATTGTAGAGGCTCCCTTTCCTCTGGCACTCGGGCACCTATGTTTAATGTGCAAAACATGCATCAGAGGACGAGTGAGGAGAAACTCAGGGCATTCCACAAACCCAGAGACTTAGGGTGGGGCCCTAAGGCCAGGGTCATCTTGAACATGGGTCAATCTACAAGACTGGCCCAGCTTTTGGCCAGAGGCTATTAAAACCCCTGAGGCTGACTTGTCAAACTCTCTGACTTTCCTTCCAATTTCTCAAGATCTATTTACATTCCCTACCTCAAGGGTCAATTTAAGTTTTCTTGTGTGTCTGGAAAAGTCCACTTCACTTTTTTTTTTTTGGTTCCAGAGATTGAACTTGCGACCTTGCACTTGCCAGGTGACTTCACTTTTTTAAAAATTGAAATTAATTTTCTGGCTACTATTGTGAAAACTTCTACAACCTAATTCCTTCTTCGATTTTAAAGTTTAGCTTACAAATCATCCATGTAAGGATAGCAGGTTTACCAATCTTAAGCTGCAGTGAGTCAAATCATCATGTGAGTCCTTCTCTTCTTTTGCAGAGTGTGGAAGTTTGGCAGTTGGGGCAGTGGGCCCTTTGTGAGCCTGGGAAGGAAGAGGGCAGGATGGTCACACAGGTGGTGGAGATTGGGAGGCCAGGACTGAGGAGAAATGACCAGACTGTGCAAGGAAGTTTCTCAGCTTCCTGGAAGCCACCTCACTGGCCAGGTCACTGATCATCAGTGTGGACCTGACACTGCCTTCAGTTTTTATAAACAACCCAAGGGACAGAAAGAGGGGTAAAAAGGAGTCCTTACTCAACAGACCCAGAAAACAGGTGATGAGAGAAGAAACTAATGTTGGGCACATGCTGCTCATTTAGGCTCGTTTTGGGATCAGTCTGATCCTTCCCATTTTGTGTATGTGGAGACTGCACCTCAGCCAACCAGCCAGAAGCAGAGGAGACCAGGTTCATTCTGAAAATATCTTAGCCTTTGCAACTCCTTGTTAAAAATTCTGTGAAAGAGATAGAAGGAGGGGGGAGAGAGGGAAAAGGAGATAGAAAAAGAATTAAGATGCCTTATGTAAGGGGCTGGGGATTTAGCTCAGTGGCATAAGCACCTGCCTTGCAAGCAGGCGATCGTGAGTTCGATTCCCGGTACTGATAAAAATGAAAAAGACAAAAAAAAAAAAAAAAAAAAAAAAGATGCCTTATGTACATCTACCAACTCTCCATGATGAATGTAATCATCATCTACTGCAAACTTGTACTGATTAATGAAAATTTGAAAAAAAAAACCTCCATGAACATCTTGTGAAAGGCTTAGGACTATCAGGTCCAAATCAGATCATATTGTGGCTTTTCATCTCTTTCATCTCCTCAGCCTCCAGCCCACAATGACTTTTTCCAAACCTGCAGTATCAGGCTTATTACCTGAGTCTCCAGCAAACAAGAGCAGGCAAGTAAGATTTTGCAAGTTTCTCCCAAGAAAAACTGCAGGAGGGACTGGGTTCTGCTCCTGCTAGTGGTTATTATTGCTGTTTCCCCGAAAGCAGAACTGTTTTACACTTCCACATGGAGGAGGGCTCTGAGGCTCTGTGGGGACACCTGGCAGCTTCTCAGTAGCAGTGCTGATGGAATCCACCCCATGAAGCCCAGTAGAGGTTTAAGGAGACAAGCAAGCTCTCTGGGCCCCCGGGTACCTTGGGTCTGCGAACAAAGTTGTTTGTGCATTTTTATCTTTGGCTGGCTATATCCACACCCCACCCACACCCCACCCACTGCCCCCATCCTGCACTTTGTGGTACTCAGGTTTCAGCTCAGCGGCTCATACTTGCTAGCCAAACTCTATGCCACTCCACTGCATCTCCAGCCCCTTTGAACAGTGAGTTATTAAGTGGGCATGGCAGTGCACGCCTGCATTCCCAGCACTCTGGAAGGCTGAGGCAAGAGGATCACAAGTTCAAGCCATGCCTGGGAAATTTAGTGACTTAGCGAGACCCTGTCTCAAAATAAAAAATAAAAAGTAGGAGGAGATGTAGCTTAGTGCAAAGGCCGTGGGTTCAATCGCCAGTACTGAAAAAAAAAAGTGCATTATGAACTTTGATTATCTCTTCAAGTGTCCGTGGAGAATTACTGTGCTACCTGATGCATTAGACTTTTACATTTCCATAGGAAAAACGTTTGTTGACCGTAAATGAAATGATACTTAGAATGAAAGATTAAGACATCTAAATTTGAAAAAATTGAAACTGCTTCCTGTATTGATGACCTAACTGGTGAAAAGCATAAAATTGGAAACAACATACATGTTCAACAGTAGAGGAGGCAGAATGCTGTGCAGTTGTGAAAACAATGCCATAGTCTCCATCTATGCCTATGTTGTTGAGGGGTATTTTTGGAAATTAGGCATTGATGTTCTTTGTGTGCAAAGACCTAACTTCTAAAATGCAAAGGCCCCGTGGAGCCTCGGATTGATGGTGACCGTAAGGTGCCTTGCAAACTGCTGCTATGTGACTCATCTGCTACCAGCCAGGATCCTGGGCCTTGCTGTCCACAGCCCAACCTAAGCTGTTATCTGAATGCAGGTGCTGGCCTGCTGTGGAGGGCGGGATTGAATGGTAAAGAGGAGATTTCTGCTTGGCTCTGGAGTGGCTGTGCAACCTTAAAAAGGTGAAGACAACAAGTTTGTTATTTCCTGCAGCTCCTCCTTTGTAAAAGCTTTCAGTTGAGAACAGCTCATGTCTTAGGGGTGATGTGCTGATCTGGAGTTTTGTGCTTGCCTGAAGTAAATTCCTTTACAGAGAAGGAAAGAGGAAAACTTTAATGCCTACTGCTATATCTTGAATATTTAGAATTGGGGGAGCACTGGACACTGAAGCAATGAAATGCTGGGAATTGGGGCACAAGCTTTCTGTTGCTGTGACAAAATACCATTTAAAGGTGATTTAAAGAAGGAAAGGTTTATTTTGGCTCATAGTTTCAAAGATTTCAGTCCATGGTCAGCTGGCTCCATTGCTTTTAGGCCTGCAGTGAGACAGAATATCACAGTGGAAGGGCTTGGGAGGGAAAGCTGCTTACTTCGTGGAGGAGGCCAGGAAGCAGAGAAACAAAGGTGGGGTGTAAGATACATCCTTTGAAGGCACACTCCAGGGACCTTCCTCCTCCAGTGGGGCCCTACCTTGATAGCTCAGTTAGCACTCTCACAGTCCAGCCACCTCTCTAGGTGCCAACTCTGAGTCTGCTGCATCTGGGATCAACCCTTCAATACATGAGCCTTTGGGGACACTTCCTGTTAAAACCATAACAGTGAAACCAGATCTAGTCTCTGTCGCTACAGCTTCTTACACCATTAAGGGAGCCACTAAAGGAAGTGCAGAGAAATTAGATGGATCAGCCCACAAAGATGCTGAAAAGCTTTGTAAGACCACACACTTGCTGATTTCAATATGGTTTTTATAAGAATGAGAGTGACACCCATAATCTCAGCACTCAGAGGCTGAGGCAGGAGGATCACCACAAGTTCCAGGCCAGCCCAGGCTACATAGTGAGTTTGAGGCCAGCCTGAACTGCATAGCAAGACTCTGTCTGAGAAAAAAAAAATAAATAAATAAACAATGAGAGTGAAACTGGATTCTCTCGGAATGCTCGGCATATATGATTTCCTAAGTCTGTGAAATGGTACTGGGAAATCAGATAGCTATTATGTCCCATGAAGAAGAGTACCCTAGGGACAAGTAGTTATGCTTGGGAAAGTTGGAGGAAGTTGAAAAAGGAGACTGATAATGTGAGAAATCCAAGAAAACTGGACTCTGAGAAGTATTTAAGCTTATTTTTTTAAATTTAAAAACTGCCTATTGTAGAAAATTTGGAAAATATAAAAAAATTTTAAAAATAAAATAAATAAAATAAACTATGTCCTACCACTTTGAAGCGACAGCTTCTAATGTTTTATTGTCTTCCAGTCTTTGAATGTTGAATATGTAAGTTTTCAAAAATGATAGTAAAATATATGGTCCCTAAAATTTTCCCTGTTAACCACTTTTCAGTGTGTCAGGGAGGGACAGTAAGTCCTTTGACACTGTGCAGTCACTGCCATGAGAGCTCTTCATCTTACAGAACAGGAACTCATTAAACAGAAACTTTTCAGGGCCTCTCCTCCTAGCAACCACTGTTCCATTCCCTGTCTTAAGTGAATACTCAAGTTTTGTTTAAAATTGAAATGATACTTTGTGCTGTGTGCTCTTTATTTAATATTTTATTCTCCATATCATTATCTAGCCTGCCAGCCTCATTTTGCAATGCAGTCTTTTGTGAATTTTGTTTCTCTCTTTTCTTTTTGGTCCAAATGCACATATATTTTGGGGAGTAGGAAGACATTCTGTAAAATGTGTTAAGGGACTCCACACAACAAATAGCTGTCAAAGCCTGTCTGACCAAACAAGATCAATTCTTTCACACGACTTATTTCTCTACTTTGGTGGAGAAGCTACATTTGTTAGAATAAAAACTTAAGTTTTCTGTAACTTTAGTTAATTTTCTGAGGCCATCTTAAGATCATAAATATGTGTGCCAATATTCTATGTTTTTTTTCCTTGTGTGATGGTTGACACAGGATTGTGAGCCACAGAGGAGCCTACGGTCCCAAATCATGCTGTTTCCCAGGAGAGGTACAAGAGTTTTGGCTTCAATTCTGCCATTTCTTATTTGAACAAATTTTGACTACACATAGAAAAACCTGGGCAGTGTTTGCTTTTAACCTAAAACATTCACTCAAGAGAAGGACTTTTCACTTGAGACTTAAAGATGGAGAAACCCTTTGGGGAGGCCCCTGCTGCAAGACAGAGGCCTAGTTTTAATCCCATCCACTCCCTCAGCCCCTGGTCCTCTGTAAGGTGCTGAGGTGAGTGCTGTGTGGGGCCGGGGTTGTTGTGTGGCAGAAACCCGAGGGACAGAGCTGGGGTCTGAGTCACGCTCTTTCCCAGAATTGCAACACCCCTTTTAGGTGGAAAGAGCCAAACTTACAGGTATGGACAAGGCAGAAAGGATTCTCTGAATTCTAAAAACCGGTTTTCTCCTATGGCCTCCTTTCCTAATATGCCCTTCCCTAAGTTTACATACCATCATCTGCAGTCCAGATCAACACAACAGAGCCTGGACAGGGGAGAGGAGCATCTCTTTCCTTTAGATCTTTGAAAGTATTTCCACTAATTTGC